ATATATATATATATATGTCCAATAAATTCAAACTGTACCTTTCTTAAATGGGGCTGGTTTCACTCTCTCCTTCTGAAATGACCATAAATGCATGCATTAGAAAGTGAAGTAATATTCAAAACCTATCCTTTTATAGGTATTGATATCCTACCTATAGATTATTCTGACTAGCTAAAATGTTTACAGTAAATATTTGTTTTTTTTATTATTACCTTTCTTTGAAGGCACTGGTTTGACTTTCTCTTTTGCAACTGCAGGCTCTACAATTCAAGGAAAAGTAGATGTAAGAGTGGACCAGTACACTCATCCATAAATTTAAGAAAGGAAAATTACTAATTACCTTTTTTAACAGTAGCAGTTGTTGGCTTTTCTTTTCAGAGAAGATGGAGGTATATATTTAATAAATTATATATGAGACTGACAAAAATTCATCAAGGACACATATTTCCATATTACCTTTCTTTGCAGTTGGTGGTTTTTCTTTCTCCTTAGAAAAATCAGGCTCTGAAAATGAGTCAGCAGGCTTGGCTAATGTCATGCATAAAAAATGACTTTTAATTAATTGCTGTTACTTTAAGTGCAGCCAACCTTTCTTGAAACAAACTGTTCATACAATCTGTTAACTTACGCAAAGCTTCATACAGTAAAATAATAACATATTCAGAACCAAGTATCTTTCTTTATTGGCTTAGCTTTTTCCTTGACAACCTCAGCTACTAAAAGACAAAATACAGTATGTTATCTCTGATTCATACAAATCATAACTTTGCATGATAAGCTTCATCTTTATTTTTACAGGACAAGCATGCCTTTTTCTTTTGGAGCTGGTTTTGCCTTTTCTTTGATAACTTCAGCTTTTTTTTTAAAGAAAAATGCAAACATTATACTGATGTCAGAGCAAACCATAATCAACACACACCATCAATGCACAGAACTATAACAGTGATCACTTAAAGCAGTAGTACTAGTTCCCCCCCAAAAGAGTTTATTACTATATTCTACAAAAATGTGAATACTTCAGATAGGAAAATAAACAAAAGAAAGCATCTAAAATGGGAGTAGCAGTTTTAATATGAAACTTTAAATATGCATTGTGATACCTTTCTTTGAATGAGCTGGTTTGGCCTTTTCTTTTGTGACTCGAGGCTCTGCAAATGAGTGAAGAAAAATGAAGACAATATATTAGTCTTTACAGTCACTTTTGTTATAAAACCTTTATCTGATTTCAAACTTTAAGGTGGTGTACATAATATACTTCAATTATGAATTTGCTTTATCATGTGTGCTCAGTGAAGCAAAAACATACAACACAATACCTTTCTTAGATGGTGCTGCTTTGGTCTCTTTTTTGGCCACTTTAGCTTCTGAAAAATAAGCATTTACATTTATTTCCTGTTACATCAGAATTGACCAAACAGAAAGCCACTTATCACATAAGATACATACCTTTCTTTACAGGTACTGCTTTGGTTTTGTCCTTGGTCATCTCAACATCTATGATCCAATAGAAACAAGAGTTGGCGGTAAACTGGCTGTTATAGATGCATAATATACATCCAAGATCTGCTCTCAACCACTAGAAGTTCTAGGTCACCACTCTGCTATTGTCTGTCAGTAGAATCTTTTTATTATTTTATTTTTTACCGTCGGCTTTGGCCAACTTCTGAGTAACATCTGGGGGGAAAAAAACAGGGGAAAAAAGCGTTCAGGGTATGACAGCTACAGCACATTTATTGAGTTAATGCATTTGTAATCATCAGACAGTGAATTATTTAAAACATTGAAGTAGTGACAGAAAAATTTACCTTTAAACACTGTTGGTTTTCCAACAACTTATGCCTAATAAGCTGTTGGAAATCCAACAGTGTTTAAAGGTAAATTTGTCTGTCACTACTTCAACGTTATATAAATGTATAAAGTGCATGACACGTGTTGGTATTTAATGTACAGTATGCTATCTTTAGAAATGTCCACAGGTTTCTGTGCTATTTATTAAAATTACTTTGGGGGAATCTTTATTCTATTATCCACCCGCAGATGAAATTGTACACATTATAATTTTTTTTAATATAACATTTTGTATTGAGTTTTTAGATGGCTTTTAAAAAATGCAGACTGATCATGTGAGGGTCCATATAAAAACTACTAGCAATATATCCTATTATTACAAAAAATGATAAAATATTGAAATAAATATCATAATGGACTAAAGCTGAAATATATAGTGTTTCAATTAAAAACTGTACATTAACCCTGTGTAATGAGGAAGCAAGGCTTTATTTATCTATTCTGTTGGAGTTAGTACATCAGATTTATTCTTTTTTTAGAGGGGGTTCCTTGTCCACTTTAGTCACCTTGACCATTTTGTCAGTATTTTTCTTGGTGTTCCTTTTCTAGAACACATTTAAGATACATAGTACAAGATTATTATCTAATAAAACAGAGGTGAGGGGTTCACAGCCTTCACTGTTCTTCTTGAAAAACAGCAGAATCTAGACTTTTAGACGTAAAATCTAAATGTGGATGTTGAGTTTTTCACATAAGAGAAATTCGATCATTTCAGTATGTTTTACCACTCTTACCTGTTGGTTCTCGAGTCTTGTCCTCCTTGGATTTTTCTTTTCTATTAGCCTTTTCCATCTCCTTTTTCTCATGTTCTTTTTTTTCCTTGACGTTTTCTACTGTTATGTGTATTTGATGTAGTGTTATCTCTTCCTCTTCAGCCTTCTTTTCCCTCATATCTGGAAGAACAGAAACAATTATGTGTCACAGTTCTATAATTTTTCTCTTAAATTGCAGTTTTCATTTCATTCATTTCACAAGCACTGTATTTTACGGTGTGCAAGCACTGAAGAAAATAACAAACCATTCACCTTGAATGATTTTGTATATCTCCTCTCTAGTTTTTTTCTCTTTGGCTTCTTTCACTTGTTCGAGAACTGAAACCATGAGTAAATGTTAAATGAAAGTTACATGTTTTAACATCAATTTGATTAATGAACAGTGAGAATTAGTGCATGAATTAACGCACTATAAGCTTGTTAATTTATCATGAATAGTGCTTGAAAAGCAGCAAAGTGGTTGTCAGCCATGACATTATGTTAGATGGCAAAATGAAATTAATAATGTATAATGGATCAATTAAATCATTCATTCTCTTAGTGGAATCATTCAGTTAAGCATAAGCATAACAGCTTTGCAAATACTCAAGACACTGAAATTGTTTACAAATCAGTGCAAAGAAGTATTTTGTATGGTTTTCATTTTTCCTAATGATTTGATTTGAGAAAGTAATTCTAAATTACACTAAAAAATGTCATTAAAAAGAAAACATTACACAAAAGCAAACATCATCTTTTGTGGATTTTGCCTATTTAAAAAAACAATATTGGACAAAAGATGCTAAAATTCTTACAGTGAGCAATGTCTAATTG